ATACAAAGTTTAATATTATATCGAATGTATGTGTATAGAAGTACAAACTGCAGAGCCTGAAACTGCATTCTTGAAAATTTGACACCTCTTCGCTGTAGTATTCTAAAACTGAGGTCTGTTTTATACCTCTTTCCCTGCCCTCTGCCTAATCATTTAGATAAGATTAGAAGGCAGAAGATACATCTCCTATTTTTAGACTTAAAAGCAATTTTTGGTAGGAGCACTTTACTTGTGGCTGCGTCTCTGGAGAAAGTGAGATTAATTGCCTTTTCCACATGTTGGCTTTCATGGAAACTTCAGCTATTGAAAGAAACCTCCCCAAAATATTTTAGTTTTCTTCAGGGTGGATAAAAATCGGATTTTTTTTTTATTTAAATGGGATTTTATTTTTATTTTTATCAAATTTATTTTAATAAAATGCCTTTGGAGTAAAAATCTATCTAAATATAGTTTTCTATTTAAGATACATTAATAATTTAGTTTATTCAGCATGAAATGGAGCTTAGTTATGTAGCATGAGGCTGTATATTCTGCAATATTTACATTTTTGGTAAACTCAATGAATCCAAACTCTGCAAGCTGAGATAACATGCACTGCATTGATGCATTCACACAATTTAACAGTAACCATGAGATAAATCATAAAACAAAGTCAGGAATATTCCTTTATCCCCTTGTTTTGCAAATCTATGTATACTACAAACTGTATGATTGTTTGAAGAGAAATGCATCTGTACCACTAGGCTCTAAGTTTGAGGAGGAAGAGCAAGCAGTAAAAATGAAAGTGACACCTTCTAAGCAGCTTATAAATATAATATTAAAAACACCTGTCATTTCAGATCCATCATGGCAGCGCCTGTTAGCGGGCATCCACTCATCTGCTGCCTGGTACGTCCCTCATCATGTTGTGTCACTGCTGCATCACCAGCCGTCCCATTAAAGTGAATGGGACTGTCAGTGAGTCAACAGCGGGTCAGAGGAGGAGCTGCTGTGCGACGGAGATGACAGTTGCTCTTTAAAAATTATGATTTAAATCAAGTTGATTTAAATCAAGCCTTTTTACTAGTGATTTAAATCATTTAAATTGTGATTTAAATCGACTTGATTTAAATCAAATCCACCCTGGTTTTCTTAATAGGGAAAATAATAGCTTTGTGGATTTTAAATAACACAGTGATTTATCTCCTTCTTACAGTAGTCCCACACAAAGCATTTTACCAAGGCCTGGCTGGCTGTTCATATGAAGAGCTGTGTTAGAATCCTAATTTGGATTCTCACAGTAGCCAATTTATGGCTACTGCTATAGCTTCTAGTGCACATCTATAATGCATATCTGCTTTTGATGCTGGCATACCATAATTATTATAGGTAATTCTTAGTGATAATCTTGCTGTCTGCTCTTCTAAAGTTATGTAACTTGGTAGCCATTACCGGTATATATTATGCATCATATGACAGTCAACTTCATTTATTGTATTCTAAGCTCCACGAAGAATTTCATTTTATTCTGAAACTCCCATTATTCTAAAAGCAGAGGGGGAAACTATGCATTTTCAATACATCCTACATAATTTTATACAGCTCTGACATCCCTCTCTTGAATTTATTTTTCAAATGCCCTAAATGCTATGAACTTTTATCAGAACCTTTTTCCAATTCAGCAATATCCTCCTTGAGATAAACTGATAAGAATTTTATAGAAGTGTAAATAAATATATGCAAGAAAAAGCATTTCCAGGGAAAATTACCTTGAACCCTATACCTTGCCACCTAGGTTTCGCTTCCTGAATCACAGAGTTACATTTTTCTAAGTGAGTTCATAGCTTCTGCTGTTCTTACACATCTATATTTTCTTGATAGTGAGAATAATTAATCAGTGGAACGGCTTGCCTCCAGAAATTGTAGGTGCTCCATCACTGGAGGTTTTTAAGAAAAGATTGGACAACCATTTGTCTGAAGTGGTGTAGGGTCTTCTACTTGAGCAGCGAGTTGGACTAGAAGACCTCAAAGATTCCATTGAACTCTATTATTTTGTGTTCTGTGTTCTACTGCATATTTCTGCTTGATGTCAGTGAGGCCTTTATAGGAAACCTTAGTTGCTGATTTTGATTGAATAAACAATTTGCACTGCAGACAGGAACAGCTCTCTGAACTGAGTTGTCCTTGAAAAGGTGAACAAGGTGGTTAGTACTGGAATGGATGGCCATCAGGACACTGCAGAACTCTGGATTAAAGTGGGAAATCAAAGAAACCTCCTTGAAGGAAAGAATGACAGGTCTGTCCATGTACTAACCAGGCGCAAAGCCTTTTTGCTGTTTAAGAAGAAAATAACAAAGTGCTTTATATGTTTTCAGACATTTCATCAGTCAGAGTAGAAGCATTCATTTAGTCTTTATTCTGTGACATCAACTGTGGATTAAAACTGCTTGTAAAATAACCCAAAATGGCTTTTGTCAGAGGACAACGCTTACTGCAAGATCCATATGCAGTCAGATGTCTGTTCTATGTAATATGTACAGTTACTCCTTTTCAACAGTTGGTGTTGTTCCCAGCCTTCAGAACTTAGCAATCAGCATTGAAACACTGGAATATTTTTTGGCAGAGTACAATAGCTATTTAGCAGGAAATCAAACTGTCTTGGAAGAAATACAACTCACATTTTTTTTCTTCAAACTTTACCAGTGAGCCTTGCGAGTTGCATTTTTAGGGTGATTATTGTTTGGAAGTTCTGCCATTATCAAGTCAGTGTTGTAGAATTGTTTCCAGGTGTCTTTGCAAATTGGAAACACATTGATAAACTGTGTGTATTCTAGGGAAGTAAAGTTGACCAGTCCCTGCTTTAAGATATAGTTTCAATCCAATTGTAGAATAAATTCCCAGTGGATCATTCCAGGGGCATGCCATGCTTCAGAAACATTGATAGTAAAGCTGCAGTCTTCAATTTTTCACTCCTGGTGTGCTTTCTTAATTACTAAATTGGAAATACACACCCACTCACATTTCAGTAGGCCTCCAACTTCCTGTAAGAAGAAAAATAAAAACCCATTGATGTAGTCAACTTTCAGCAAATCTAAGAAATGCTAATTAGATCATGAACACAGGGACACAAATAAATTTCCCAGATTGCCATGGATGGTCAAAGCATATAATATAATTGTATAAGATTATAATAATATAATAATATAATCTGATACAATTGTAAAGATTGCCAAATACTTCTGAGCCTACTGAAGACCACGAATCTCCAAAGAATCTGAAAGGAATGAAAAATTTAGTTGTTTCCTGAATACCTTGACTACTTTGATTATCAATATGTTTTAGGCAATCCCATTGTCTGATTCTGCATTGAGGATTGAGGTTAATCCAATCAGGAGAATCGTGAAAGACGCATTTCCAGACTGACTTCAGAAGAACAAGCCATCATATGAAAGAGTTTCCCCCCATTCTTTATGAACTGTTTGCAAATTACTAACTTTCTGTAGGGCCAGATAGTGTTGCAGCCAATAGGAAGGAAAGATACGTTCAAAGTAGTGATTCACTCCAGGTTGTTATTCTAATCCATGCTTTTGAAGATAATGCCCGATTTGGTCTATAAATTGTGATTGGTGTTTGCTTATTATTCTCCATGGTTGTCACATCTGCTGTGTACTGTGCTATGTGCCTTGATACTACAGTTTTCAAAGGAATGGAAAATCCTACATTCTTGAACTGCTGTTGAAGTTAACTCCTGTCACTTTAATCCTCATAGCCCATAGTGAAAAATACCTGGAAGGTGAATCTCTGTAATATTTAAAGGACTACTGCCTCTCTCCTTGCCATGAATGAGTTCTGTTTCCCATTTTCTCTATTTTATGCTTTCTTAATAAGCATTACCATAGTTTGCTAGATAACAGTGTCTTGATTCCCACTGTGATGGCCACTGTCTATAAACAAAAATACTTTTTTCATTATGAATGGCTAATTTGAAATTTGTTCATGTTTGCTGCTGCTTCATGACGTATTGCAATTCTTTGTGTAAAAATCTTAGAAATCAGTAGCACAGGTACTTTTTTTAGGTATAGGTCATCTTTTAATAAATTTACAAGCCTTTGATTCCATTTCTGTGGCCAATGACGTAGTGTTACAGTTGGAAAAATGTGCAAGCAGAAAAGAAATGTTCAGATTGGTAATTGGCTTGTTAGTGATGTGTGAAAACTTACAAGTTTTACAGTAATGAATATAACCTTGAATTTCTCAGCTATTTGTCAATCCGTATGTTCCTGTGAAATAGCCTTTTGGGAAAATGAAGTGCTGCATAAAAAGTCTCAAATGGATTTATTTTTAAACAGCATTCAAAAGTTGTTAGTTCTTGAATAGTATCTTATATGTGAGCCTACACCATTGTTAGAGAAGAAGCTACAGAAAAATACTGAAAATGAACAAGGGCCAGAAATTTTGGGCTTCAATTAGACTTTTTTTTGTGGGAAGTTATTGGAATGACATTTCCTTCCAGTACTGGAAGGAATTTTATCCTGTTGACAGTAAAACAGAAAGGCCACATATTTTGATTTAATGTAAAATATATAAATTAAAGAAATTTCTCTTTAAAATATATAAATATCTCACAATAAATAATGAATACATTTTGCCTTACAATATACTTTGTTATATGTTTAAAAAGGAGCTGTTGATTTTTTTTTCTACATAAAACATTGAAAGATTACTGCAACATTGATATGCCTTTTGTGACTGAATTAGATCTATGTGATGTGAGTGCTTTAATATTTAACCATTATAGGACTGAATTCACAAGGCAATATAATAGAGTTGTCTAATGCTTTGCACTTAATTTAGAAATAGAGCTTTTCAGTATACATAAATGAGAATGCAACTCATTAAAGCAGACATGTCCTTTTCCAGGTTCATCTGATTGTTGAGGGAAGATGCACAGCACTAATGTAGAAACATTACTGATATAAAATACGTATTTTTAACTGTTTTTCTTCTTTTCTTAATTCTAGATTTCTAAGTCAACACCGTGCATGGTTCTGTGTTTGGGCTTTAGTTGTGGAAGAGAAATGCCTACCATGTGCTAGGATACAAGGTTGTGGATCCTTTTATTTCCGTGGTTCTGGAATATAAAGAGAGAAACAGGACAAAATGGGGAGGAAGAAAATACAAATCACAAGAATAATGGACGAGCGGAACAGACAGGTGAGAAACAATACTTCTTCAGAAATATACCTAGCTTGCATTCACTTTTGTAAACATTTGAGAAGGACTACTTTTTTAAGCTATGTTTCCCCCCTACAACTTCATCCTGATAACCATCATGGACAGGAGCTACAGAAGAAAGTATGATTTTATTTGGTGATATATTTATTTCTTATTATTTAAACCTATTGTAATTATTAGCTTTATTTATGAGGATTGCACAAACTCATTCATCATTTTTTTAGGTTCAAAGTGTTGCAAAAGTTTGAGAATCCCTGTGTTAACCCAACTATAATGTATTCCGATTTAAGCCTTCATTTCCCCTACCCCCCCACCCCCGTATGATACAGAATACTCAGTGAATTTATAATGATATTTCCATTGCACTGGAATGGAATCTGCTTAGAAGAGCTACATATTATTCAGATTTATATATAGAAGTTTGTCAATTACTTGAAGCAGACATTCAATCATCGATTTCTGTGAGCAGTGTTAGAAGTTGTAGCTATTTCTTTAACTTACATCTCTTTGTCTTTTTTAAGCTCTTTGAGAATCATAGCTTGGACACATAGTCTTTTTGCTTAGTTTGGGAAGCTTTGCAGCATCCCATTCTATTACTGTGATGGCCAATTATGTCATTCACTTCCCTTTTACAAGAATGGCGAAATACAATTATAACCCAGGAGAGACAGTAAACTGTTGTATTGCTCAACATAACCTACTGCCTTGTGCAAAATGGTGCCATCAAATGGCACAGCCATGGTCATCCTTTATTATTTGGCAATTTTAGCCACTTATTGGGTCCTTCCCAAAGACCCGGGATAGGGAGTTATTGTTTGATGTTGTTGAATGTATTGTTACACAGGATGTAAGCTGTTTCAAATTAAGCTGCCTTTTACAAATGACAAGTGGTGATGTTGTCAATGCCAATGGTTCAAGTGATGTTCCAGATGTTCTAGGATTGCACCGAAGAGTGTTTTTCTATTGTTACTATGTTTGCTTTCTTTTGCCATACTTGTTCTTTTTCTGTTTGCAGGTTTTTATATTTTGTGATTCTCCAGAATGATTGGAAACAGCAGTCAGGTATAGGTTAACTCCGTCTGTCTTTAGCTGGACTGAGCCTGCAATTTGTTAAACCACGCCTCTTCTTGTTGCCTCCCAGCTTTCGACTCAGTCCCATCTGGACAAGATGTGTTTCAGAGCTAATCCTTCCTGATTACCTTTTCCAATGGTTCAGAAGATACAAACAACTCCCAGTTTGGCTGGTAGAGAATTTCCTTTACATCTGATTCCAGCATGTAGGGCTTGGCCTGAAATTGCTGAGGGCCGCGAGGGTGGCATCAGACTGCTGGCTGGCAGGGCCGATTGGGCAGTGCTCACAAGCCTCAGCTCTGCAGCGCTGACCCAGGGGATCGTTTCTACAGCCCCTCTCTTTTGACTGACATCGGGCTGCAGGATCGCAGCAGAGGCGAGGGTGGCATGCACAAGCTTGCTCTGCGGCACAAGCCTTGAAGTGCAAAGCACATTCTGGGCCATTACCACGCTCGCTGAGGAGCCTGGGGATCGCAAGCCAGTGGGGCGAGGGCAGATGGGCCCCCCACTTATCCGCCTCATTCCCATCAGTGCCACAGTAATCGGCACAGGGCAGTGCTCACGAGCTTGGCTCCGAACCATTGGCTCTTGGGAGCATCAGCTTCGGATGAACACCTTCAGATCTGGGATTGAGCAAGCAGGCGGTGAGTAGGAGTGATCGGAGGCTCTGCCTGCTGCTTTGCAAGGGGCCCTTTTGTTCCAAGGCCTCTAGGCCTGATCTGCCTAGCTAGATACAAAATAGCGGCTGCCAGATCAGGGCGCAACACCTGCATGGCAGGTAGCCCAGTGCGCATGCACCCAGAGGGGGATCAACAGGCAGGGCCTTCTGAAGCTAGGCCTTTGAAAGGGAAGGCTCATCTTCTAGCAAGCCTCGCAAGAAGTCTTCCAAGGCTGAGGAACGAAGGTACGGGGCCATAGAGAGATCTATTAAAAAAGCCCAAAGAGATGCGGAGAAGAAAGCCAGAAGCCTCCAGGATATGGAGCAGGCATCTTCTCTTCCAATCATTTCATTTCCCCCAGAGCCCCTTGAGAGGACCTCTACTGCTGTATGGTGGTCTGATGAACCAGGGGAACTGCCCCCTGATCTTCCTAGCAATAGGGAGTTGCTGTTTGGTGCTACGCCAGAACCAGAATTTATTTGGGCTCAGCCTGTTATACAGAGGGTCCCCTCTGCTGAGGCTACCTTTACACCCACAGCCGCAGGCCTCCGCTTGGAAGAGCATTCGGAACCACTAATCCCAGCCAGCATGGGGGCCATGATTTCTGAAGCAATTAAACAGGGCATTGCAGCAGGGCTTCAACAGAGAGCAGAATTAGTGGCCTCTGAATTTCCTGGTCCTCAGGATTTCCAACACAATCTGGAATATTCTCAGGCTCCTCCAGTCAGGCTTCCCTGTCGGCTGAGGAAATGCAACATGATCTTGATCTGTCTGAGGATGAGGGTCTCTTGCCAGACCAGTCTGCTTTCGTGGTGTTGTTTTGCCCTCAGATATTTAAATCTTTACTTCACAAGGCCAAGACTTCCACCAAGCTGGGCATTACTCAGGTTTCCCCAGAGCCTGCACAGGGGTCAGCTGACCCTGCAAATCCACTATTTGCAGAACCCACCATAAAATCAGAGGAGGTTCAGCACCCAGACTTTTTCTGGACATTGTACAAAGGCAGTGGACCTCTCCAGGGTCGGGGCCAAACCCCAGTAGTTTGGACAAACGTCTATACAACACTGGGACTAAGCTTACTAGGGCCCTTCAAGTCCCTTCCATTGATACCCTAGTGGTAGCTCTGACATCTCAGTCGGTCTTAACAGGCTCTCCTGAGGAAATCCTCTGTCCGGAGGATAAAAGAGCAGAATAGTCTTTGGTCAATGCCCACCTGGCAGCCACCTGGGCTGTTAAAGCCTCTTTGGCATCACGTCGCCCTTCAACGGACCGAATCTATTCTGCTACCTGGCGGGCCTTCTGCTCATGATGTGACATGACTGGCGTGTCTGTTCTCCAGCCTTCTATCGTGGATATCCTGGTATTTCTACAGCAGGGACTTTCTGAAGGACTTTCGCCTAACCTTACGTCGCCAGGTGGCTGCTATTTCCTCTGTACTTACCTGCGGGTCTCTCTCATCAGCATCCGCTGATTTGTCACTTTCTTAGGGGCGCCATGAACCTCTGTCCTCCGGTGCTGCACCGTTACCCTACCTGGGACCTTCCGCTGGTTTTGGAATCACTCATGGGGTCTCCTTATGAGCCCCTGAGGATGACATCTCTCAGGTTGCTGTCTTGTAAAGTCGCCTTCTTGGTGGCTATAACTTCGGCTCGCCGTATTTTGGAGGTTGCGGCTTTGTCCACATGTGCCGACCTCTGTGTGTTCCACGCGGACCGCATGGTCCTCCGCTTGGATCCTACCTTTGTGCCAAAGGTCAACTCTGTTTTCCACCATTCGCAAGAGCTCATTTTACCGAACTTCTGCCCGGGTCCTTCTCATCCTCGTGAACGCCGTTGGCACACATTGGATGTGCAGAGGGCTCTCCTTATCTGTGTAAAAAGGACTGCTTCCATGCAGAAAACAGAATCTCATATCCTTCCAACCTGCCATGTTGGGGCATAAGGTCACGTCATCTACCTTGGGGAGGTGGATTAGAACGTGCATCGTTCAGGCATATGAGACACAGGCCTTGCCGGTTCCGAGATGCATTATGGCACATTCAGCTTGGAGTGCAGCCACTTTGGCTGATTGGGCTACACAAGCTTCCCTAGAGGAAGTCTGCCGGGCTGCTACTTGGTCGTCCCCATCGCCATTTATCCGCCACTATAAGCTAGATACTTATGCCTCGGCTGAGCTGCCTTTGGCAGGAGGGTGCTCCAGACAATTCACACAGAGCAGAGAGCCCAGGACTGCCTACTCCCCCCTAATAGGACAGTCAGTTTTGGTATGACCCATTCCTGACTGCTGTTTCCAACGGTTCTGGAGAAGAGGCGTTGGTCCTACCTGAGACGCTCCTTCTCGGCACATTGGAAACAGCAGTCAGCCCCTCCCGGTTTGGTGTCCGATCCTGGGGGGGCAAGGAGGGCTGTTTGTGTTTCTTTATAGATTTACATGTCAGTCTACATCAAAAGCTGGGAGGCAGCAAGAAGAGGCGTGGTTTAACAAATTGCAGACTCAGTCCAGCTAAAGACAGACGGAGTTAACCGATTCCTGACTGCTGTTTCCAACATGCCGAGGAGGAGTGTCTCAGGTAGGACCAACGCCCCTTTTCTCCAGTTTTTTTCTCTTCTGCTGTCTTCAGGTATTGCAGTGTCTATTATACAGACTTTTTTTATCTGTCTTATCAACAGTTATTAAGCCTGGGGTGTTAGAAAAAAAGTCCCAGAGCACTTTAGCTTCTTCGTTTTCTATTACTTTGGCTATTTTGCGATCCTAGCACTTTTTGCTTGCAGGCAGCTGGTATTTCTTGCAGATATTCCAGTGCACCATTGTTGCCACTATATCATGCCGTGGTTTATAATCAGTCTGTGTGATCTTGCAGCAGCTAACTAGATGGTCCACTGTTTCTTTAGCTTCTTCACAGAGGCAGCATTTGTTATCTGTTGTTATCTTCTCAATTCTAACTTTCTATGTGTTTGTTCTTAAAACTTGATCTTGTGCAGCCAGAATGAGCCCTTCTGTCTCTTTCTTCAACTTTCCGGCTTTTATCCATTGCCAGGTCTTGTTATCTGCTTTGCCTTTTTTTTTTTTTTTAAATGGACTGGCCATGTAATACGCCCTTGCCATGTCTCTATTCTTCCTTTGGACTTTCTTGTAGGCCAGTTTGATCTCTCTGGCGTTCAGTAAACTTTCATGGTGTGCTAGCTTTAGTGCATTTTTTTCCCACTTTTCTTCAGATATTCTTCCAATGCTATTTTTTTCTAAGCACTC